TGCTTTTATGGGATGCTTCCTCTTGGAACCTGGCTGCATGCTCAAAGGAAGCCCAGACTAGCCCTCATGAACACGTCTAAGTGTTCTGGCCATTAGACCCACTGAGGTCTGGTCAAAATTCAGCACCAACTGCCAAATGTGTAAGTGAAGACGCCTCAAGATGATCACCTGGTTTGGAGGCCCCAGACATAAGGGAGAAAGGACAAGTTGTCCCCATTATACCTGTTGGTATTTCTGACCTTTGGAAGCCAAGAGCATAATAGAATGGATGTTTTCTGTCACCAAGTACAGGATAGTCTGTCATGTAGCAATAGTAACCAGAGCAGACATTCTAATCTCTGTTGGTGGTGGAAGTGAGCAGCGTAAATACCATGGTCCTCCGTAACCCTGGGTCCTGCTGGGGAGGAGGGGTCATGGATCACTGTGGCCATTGATTTCTCCCTTTGACAGCACCGTGGACTGGTGCACTTTCCCAGCGCAGCTGAAGCCAGATGACATTTCATGATGTCAGACTCCATTTCTCTCTGAAATCAGGGCTCCATTTTTGTTTATAATTGTTCCAATGATTAATGTTCTTGTCAAGGAATAGGTGCCTTGTGCACTGTGTCTTGTCCTCCCTCCATCAGCAGGTCCTCCACTCTGTCCCTGGGCCTTGGCAACACTGTCCTGCTCCTGTCCTACCCTGAGAGAAGCTCAGCTGGGTTCCTTGAACCAAGCACATCACCAACTTCAGTCCAGTTATGCCACTGACAGAGGGTCAATATGTGGCTCCCAGGAACGGTGACCACTTCCGTGCAGTGGGCAGGCCAAGTGCCCAGGGAGGGGTAGTGGGGATATGGCACACAGCAGCTTGGGGCCAGGATGTGAGGTGCTGAGACTTGTCCTTAGGGAATAGTCAAAGTACACTCTGTTACCAAGCAGGGCTGAGGTGGGGGTAACATTGGCATAGCAGGTGATGGGGTTTGAATGCAGGCAGCAGAAGTGGGTTTGGAGAAGACTGGAGATGCTCTCTTTGAGGTAGAACTGACTGACAGGTTTTAGTTGTCGATTGAGTGTTGAACACAGGAAGCAGTGGATGATCAGAAAGTGAATCCATAAAACAAAACAAGGAAGAAAAGAGGCAGAAAAAAATGAAGTGTCAGGAAAAATGAGGAAGAAGATACTGAACTGAACAATGGACCAGCTATAAGACACCCAGGAGAAAACAGCAGAACTTTGGGCACAAACCTGAGGCCTAACATGGAGATCTCAGAGGCATCAGCCTAGAGCTGATGGCAGGAGCCATGGGAATGGGGCCAAGGGCCCAGGGGGCATCCATGCTGAGCAGAGGATGGGGCCAGCAGGGACCCCTGGGTGACTGGCCCTTATGTGATGGCTGGAGGAAGCAGAGTCCTTCAGCAGAAGGAAGATGAGAACTGCGACAGTGGGGTCTCAGAAGAGAATCTTCCACGGCACCTGATATGGCTCCTTGCACATCGTAGGTGCTCAGTGTTTGCTGAGTGAAGAGACCCACAGCTGATCTCTGGTACAAGGAAAACACTAGACCAAATGCAAAGAGCAATAATCAGGGAGTAGACATGTAAGAGATCAGCTCATTTAGCTTGGTATGCTACAGGGTGGCAGACGCATTGGCCTGACACGTGTCAGTTGCAGATGGGGTTGCACTTTCCATCCAAATGTATCAGGCAAGCTGTGACAGGATGCAAATGGTGACAGACACACACTGCATGCCACAGCTCAGCTGTCAAGTGGAGGGCAGCCTTCCTGTGAGCAAGCAGGGACACCTTCACTCAGGCCCTGGAGTCTTGAACCAGACTTACACCTCCCCTAGTGGTCACTGTGGGTGGCCTCCTCTGGACATCTGTGGGCCACTCCCAAAGGGCAGGACGGTCCTGCTGCCAGGCTCGTCATGGTAGCTGGGAGTGGAGTGCAGAGATGTGAACAGCTGCGCTGGGGAAAGGGGCCACGTGATTGGCAGGAGTGAGGAAGGGCCAAGCCATGCTGCTCAAGAAATCAGAAACAGAAGGACGATGCGTGGTGTCCTGTGTTTGGACATCATAGCTGGTGAGATTTTCTTCCCCCTGGTGGCTGGGAGGAGGACTGACGACCTCTCCTGTCCTGGCGGTGCTGATGTGGGGACATAAGATGAGTCTTCTGAAAGAAAGGCAGGAACAGAGTCGGACAGCAAGGAGCAGCGCAGGGAGAATTTGGGAAGAGCGGCCAGAGCACCAGATTCTGGAATTATCAGCATTCTGGAATTCTGGTGGAATTTTCCGAAATCAGGATAATCTGAAAGTTGAACGCTCAGCTTGTAGAAGTGATCCAAACACAACATATTTCTTCTCCCACTATGCCTTCACTTTTCTTTGGGGGGAGTACCCCCTCTCAGCCCTGGATGAAGATTTAGGCAGATTCTGTAGTATTTCCTCTTATTCTTGAGTAATAGATGGTCCTTCAGCCATTTGACTCACATTCTAAGTCTCAGGCACCGGCTGAGGTGTTTGCTGAGGAAAAGGCAACATGGATAGGTGGTGGAAGAAGAAAGCAACAAACACCAGTCACCAGCTTCAACCACATGGCTGGCTACAAAAAGAAGAGCTATGGTAGTGATGGTATTTCTTCCATGCTTTGATATGAATACATATGTGTGTATATACACACATATCCATATATAAAAATCTGTCTAGTTGTGTATACACACATATCCATATATAAAAATCTAGCTAGTTTTTGGAACACTTTTCCCACAGACACCCACCTGTCTCACTACGTCACAGTTGGATTTCTTCGGGGAAAGACCTCCTTTGGACACTGCCCCAAATTTTATACTGTGAATCTTCCTCCTGGGCTCCGCAAAGGGGCCCACATTTACCAGGGTGACTGCACTGGAAGGAAAGAAACACCCAGGCTTTTCAGAGATTACTGGACACTGGCTCTGAACCAATGGTAATTCCTGGGGACCCAAAACCACACTGTGGTCCACAGTTAGGGTGGACCACATATAAATTTTAACCATATATTTAAATCTCTTTACTTTGTTTTCCCATTCTAACATGATATGTGTTAATAGTGATTAACTTTGTATCTCAATATTGAATTCATAGGATATCAGAATGGGAGTATGACTCCTCTGGAAGGGGAATAACCAACACTCAAGAATGGAAAAGGTCATATATGGGACTCTGTTTCCTTTTTGGGACAGGGATAATATCAGTTTGCTTGGGCTGCCATTAAAAAATACCATAGACTGGGTGGCTTAAACAACAGAAATTGACTTCTCCTAGTTCTGGAGGCCAGGGATCCCAGGTCAAGGTGCTGCTAATCAGGGTCACAGTGAGGACTGCTCCTGACTTCATGTTGCGTCCTCAGACGGGTGAGAAGGTGAGCTCTGGAGTCTCTTCCTCTTTTTATAAGGACACAAATGTCATGAGTACCCGGCCCTCATGATTTCATTTAAACCTAATTATCTCCCAAAGCCCCACCTCCAGATACCATCACATTGGGGTGAAGGCTTCAACATATGAATTTGGGGGACACAAACATTGAGTCCATAACAGATAGCATGTTTTTGGTTGTTTAAGGGATAACTGCATTAATTTAGTCAGAAGTATAATTTTGTTTTATCTTTATGTAGAAGTTAAATATATAGTCCTGACAAATGTATATGGTTCCAAGTTGGTTCCAAACTCTTTTGGATTATGAAATGTCAACTCGGCTAAGATTAGAAACTGTTTTCCAGAATCCCCTTCCCTGTGTGGTTCCCAGATAGAGTTGACCAAAAGAAGAACCTGCATGAGTTTTTGGAAGAGAAATTGAGAGAGCTTTGCTTCTCAGCTCCTCCCATGTTTGAATCCAACAGCATTCCTATCACAATCTCTATTCCCATTGTATTTATAGTGGCTCAGTTTCCCTGACTGGACACTGACTGGTGGATTTTGGTTCTCTGCTAAAACATTAGCAGAGGCCTCTAATGGAAGCCTGTCTAACAGAGAAGGCCCAATCCAAGAGAGCACCCCGTCACCCTCGCTCCTTACTCTGACTGTCCTTCACAGCCCTTATCCCCACCTGACACAGCACTTGTGTCCATGTGGCTGCTTTGTTACTACTGAATCCCCGATGAACAGAGCGGTTGCTAGCACTCAATAGTTGCTCAATAAGTATTTGCTGAATGAATATTTGGGGAAACCTGATTTAAATGCTCGTATATCATGATCAGAGTAACAGTAATTCTTCCTACAGTGTATGTGGAATATTGAATTCATAATATTCTAGATAAAGAAGAGGTAAAAATATCAAAAACGTAAAGAAGAAAGTGCGGGAAGAGTAGGATGGGGAGGAAGAAAGTAAAGAAAGAGGAAAAGGGGAGAAAAGAAAGAGGAGGGGAGGGGGGAGCTAGGAAGGGGGAGGAGGAAGGGAGAGAGAGGAAAAGAGAGCGAGGAATGGAGGAGGGAGGAAGGAGGGAAGGGAAAGTAGGAAGGGAAGGGGAGGAAGGGGAGGGAGGGAGAAATTGGGAGGAAGGGAGGAGGAGGAAAGGAGGAAACAGGGAGCAGAGGGAGGCTCTGAATGTGGCTGACACTGTATGAGGAGCTTTTATACAGTTTAATGGAGACCAACCTGTGAGGCAAGTGTTATTACCAGATTATAGGTGAAACCACTAAGGCTCAGAGAATTAAAGGACTTGCAGAAGGTCTTTACAAAGTGATTGAGCTGGAATCCAAATATAGGGTGTCTAATTTCAAAACTCATATTCTTGCCATTATACCTGCCACCAGGGAAAGCAGATGCACCATGAGAAGAAAAATTGAAATGCTGTTTGAAAACATATTAAAGCATTCCATTTGGGTCCGAAATTATAGTTTTAACTTCTGAGCTTGACCAGTTTGGTTAAGTACCAATTTAATAATCAGTCCTTTTATCTATGACTTACTCTGTGCATAAGCAGGCAGTGCTGTGATTTATAACCAATGTTTTATGCAACAGTTCTATGATCTTATCGAACATTTTCAACACCAACCCTTTGTTATAGACAAATGGTTGAGTTACATCATTTAAGGTATACACTTTACTTTTAAACTAGTTTAAGAATATTACTGTACAAAATAAAAGTTAAACATTGGAGTAGTAATAATGATGAATAACTCTGTGCTTCCCCATAAATAACATGCATCCTGTCTCTGCACCAACAAAAACTGGCCCTAGTGGGTCACAGCCAATGACAAGGCAGTCTGATGTTTCAAATCAACGGAGGCACTTCAGGGTTATCTTCAAAGTCTGGGTCTTCCTCACTGGGTATAATTTTGGGTTCAGATCCCAGTCTTCTGGGTGTGTGTTTTTTCTCTAGAATGATGTTAGTCACATCAGGGAATGAATGCTTGCTAGGATCCACTTCTAGTTTTTCAATGCATTTGCTTCTGCAACAACAAAAAGACAAAGGGAAATTGATATTGCATCATTTAAAATTTCAAATAGATTCAACTCACTCATTTATTTATCCAGCAAACATTGGCAAGTGATATCCCTGGAGCACAGAGATAAAAATAAGAGAATGTCCCCAGCTTCAAGTCACTTAGAGCCTTGTAGAAGCAAGATTCTGACTTGTGAAGAAAAAAAGTGCTATCCGGCTGTGCTAATGCACAGGCAGTTGGAGGAGAGGTCACCTGGGAAACTCTGCTTACCTAAGAATTTTTTTTTCTGTAACTGAAACAACACAGCAGGCAAAGCCCCACAGCCAGGATCAGTAATGGAATCTCTCCTGAATGCAGCTAATCAGGCTTCTGGACCCTGCTAATTTAACGATCCACCAGGTCAGGGTTTGGCAGGGGCTTCTATACCACAAGTTCAGGTGCATAGCAAAGCTTAGCTCACCAACTTGTCCTACACAAGAACCTAGCCTACTGCCTGCACCCAGTTCTCAGCAATAGCAGGAATAAAACAGAACAAGGAGGAACCTCCATTGGCCAATGCTTCCAATGTCCTGGTCATGTAGAAAACTCTGTAGATAATGCAGGTCTCTGAGCTGCATTCCTGGCATTTTGATTCCATAGGTCTGGAGTTTGGCCCCACAATCTGTAGTTTTGTAATGTTCCCCCCCAAGTGATTTTGATAATCAGTCAAATTATTTTGAAATTACTGCATCATTCATTCATTCATTCATTTAGTCATTCAACAGATTTATGTTAAATGTCTACTACATTTCAGGTGCTATGTAGGCACCAGGGATACCATAGTCTGTGCAAATAGACAGGATCCTGGTAATATCTGACACTGCAGTGTCATTCTCTAACATAGAATTTATACTGTCATATAATTGTCTCATTATTGGTCTGTTGTCCTACGAGACTGACATCTTTGAGACAAAGATTTTGTCCTTTTCATCTTGTATACTTGGCATACAGCTGTACTGCACAAATACTTGTTGAATAAGTGAAAAAATATTATTGTTCTACGAGGGAAATAATGAAATTATATAAGAAATAATCTCTGATCTAAAAAAGACTACACAATCAATCTAATCCAGAAACTCCAAACTGATGTCCTTAAACTAAATTCATCCAGCAGACACTTTTTGTTGGGGGAGGAAGGTTCCATTTTCTTTTGGAAGTGTAAACTTTCTACTGTCCTTGCAACCCTTCCCCCTCATTTCTGTCATCTGCTCAGCCCTTGAAGGCATTTGAGTTTTTAATTCCTCTTAATATTTCAACTAATACACATAGAAATGTGAAGAAAAATACAAATCATACAAAGAATATATAATAAAATAGGATAGTCTGAAGACCCAGATTGCACACTATAAATAAACCATGTATGCCACGGGAGGAAGAGGGAATTCAAAGGGACGTGTGCATTCTCTGAAGAGGAGAAAGAAGTGGGGATTGCCCTGCAGGATGTTAGAGGATGTGGATCAACACAAAAAGGGAATCCAAGGCTGTAGAGAAATGAATGGTGCTGTGGTCACGACCTGAACACACCTTCCTCTCAGAGGCCTCCATGCAGCGATATTCACGGGCCCCTCTACCTTTAAAGGGACAGAGATTCATGGCTTCTGGATGAAGCTGCTTATCATCAATGCACAGGAAATAACAGACCTCACAAGGTTGGAGGCATACTGTGCAGAAAAGAGAGAATAGCAAGAGCAGGCCAGAGATGACACTTTTTAGAAAGGCCTGCCTGCAAGTTTGGGTGTTGGCTGGTAAATCATTCCCTGTATCTACATGAAATGTTTCCTAAACAGTGAGGGTGTTCCTATCCTATCTCTCCACATCCACGCCAACATTTATTGTTTTGGGAATTTTTGATAAAGGACATTCTCTCTGGAGTCAAGTGACATCTCACTGTGATTTTGATTTGCATTTCCCTGACGATTAGAGATGTTGAGCATTTTTTCATGTTTGTTGGCTATTAGTCTATCTTCTTTTGAAAAGTTTCTGCTCATGTCCTTTGCCCACTTTTTGATAGGGTCGTTTGATTTTTTCTTGATGATTTTCCTGAGTTCTATAAATTCTAGTTATCAGTCCTTTAACAGATGTGTAGCATGTGAATATTTTCTCCCATTCTGTAGTTTGTCTGTTTACTCTCATGATAGTTTCCTTGGCTGTGCAGAAGCTTTTTAATTTGACCAGGTCCCATTTATTTATTTTTCTTGTTAGTGTGATTGCCTTTGGGGTCTTATTCATAAATTGTTTCCCTAGGCCAATGTCAATAAGAGTTCTTCCAATATTTTCTTCTAGAATTCTTATAGTTTCATGTGCAGTCTGAGGGATGGCATACCCCTGTAATATGCTGAAATTAAAAAAAAATTGAAAAAAAAAACACAAAAAACAATGAGGGTGGCATACTGTGACCAGAAATGTGTGCAATCAACATGGTTTATGTTCTCCTTCTGGGAGTGAAGAACTTTGGTACGTGCTGAGCAGAGGGTGTCTACCAGCCCCTAATAAAATGCTTGAGCACTGAATCTTTAATGAGCTTCCTCAAAGGGCAACATTTCAAATGTGCTGTTGCAACTCATTACTGGAGGAATTAAGTGTGTCCTGTGTGATTCCACAGGGAGAGGACTCTAAAGCTTGCCCTGGTTTTCTCTGGATGTGGCCCCATTGCTGATTTTGCTCTGTGTCCTTTTGCTGTAATAAATCTTAGCCATGCATATCAGTATATGCTGAGTCCTGTGAGTCCTTCTAATAAATCACTGAACTTGGGGTCATCTTGGGGACCCTGTCCTTTGCTGAGCCCTGTGCTAAGCCCTTTACTTGTGTCATTGAATCCTCAGATAACCTCATTACCACCACCTTATGATCCAGAGGGAGAACAAGAGGAACAGCCAGCCAAGGTCCCACAGATAAACACAGGCAGGGGTGGGAACTGAATCCGGGTCTGCGGTGTTAACATGACATATACTATTACTCATAGAAAATCAAGTGCCATACACAGCACAAATGATGGGTTTACTATCCTTGGCATCTGGCATGTAAGATTAAATTCGTCAAAAAAGTTTTCCAAATATTTTGCCCACTTTTTAATGGGGTTATTTGTTTTTTTCTTGCTGATTTGTTTGAGTTATTTGTAGATTCTGGATATTAGCCCTTTCTCAGATGTCTAGTTTGTGAATACTTTCTCCCATTCTGTAGGTTGCCTGTTTACTCTGTTGATTATTTCCTTTGCTGTGCAGAAACTTTTTAATTTAACTAGGTCCCAGTTTTTACATTTCAAAATATTCAGGGAGTACAAATGTTTTTGTTACATGGCTTGAGTCAAGGCAAAAAATGTGCCTATCACCACAACAGTGTCCATTGTATCTGTTAGGTGGTTTTTTGTTCCACTGATTTATTTTTGTTATTGCTGTATTTGCCTTTGGGGTCTTAGTTATAAATTCTTTGCCTAGGCTGATGTCTAGAAGAGTTTTTCCTACATTTTCTTCCAGAATTTTTAGGGTTTCATGCCTTACATTTAACTCTTTTATCCATCTTGAATTAATTTTTATACATGGTGAGAAATAAGGGTCCTGTTTCATTCTTCTGCATGTGGCTATTCAGTTTTCCCAGCACCATTTATTAAACAAGGCTTCCTTTCCTCAGTGTCTGTTTTTGTCTGCTTTGTCAAAGATCAGTTGGTTGTAGGTGTATGGTTTTATTTCTGGGTTCTCTATTCTGTTCCATTGGTCTGTTTCTATTTTTATACTAGTACCATGCTGTTTTGGTTATTACAGCCTTACAGGATAATTTGAAGTCAGGTAATGTGATGTCTCCAGATTCATTCTTTTTGCTTAAGATTGTTTTGTCTATTCAGGCTTTCTTTTGGTTCCAAATGAAACTTAGAACTATTTTTTCTAGATCTGTGAAATATGACATTGATATTTTGATTGAAGACTGTGTTCAATCTGTAAATCTCTTTTGTCAGTATGGACATTTTAACAATGTCAATTCTACTAATCCGTGAGCAGGAAATGTTTTCCATTTTTTAACATTATCTATGATTTTTTTCATCAGTGTTTTGTAGTTCTCCTCATAGAGATATTTGGTTAAGTATATTCCTAGGTAGTTCATTATTTTTGTACTTGCAGAAGTTTTTCAAAAGATAGACAAATAGCTAACAAATATATGAAAAAAATGCTCAACATCACTAATCTTCATGGAAATGCAAATCAAAACCACAATAAGATACCACATTACCCCTGTCAGAATGGCCATTTTTAGAAATTCAAAAAACAATATATGTTGACACAGATGCAGAGAGAAAGGAATGCTTATACACTGTTGTGGGACTTCAAATTAATACAACGTCTATGGAAAACAGTATGGAGATTTCTCAAATAAATAAATGTAGACCTACCATTTGACCCAGCAATCCCACTACTCGGTATTACCCAAAGAAAAAGAAGTCTTTTTATCAAAAAGACACCTGTGCTTGAATGTTTATTGTAGTACAATTCACAATTGCAAAGATGTGGACTCAACCTAAGTGCCCATCAATTCATGAGTGGATAAAGAAAATGTGACACACACACACACACACACACACACACACACACAAATATCATGGAGTACCATTCAGCCATAAAAAAGGAATGAAATAATGTCTTTTGCAGCAACGTAGGTGGAACTGGAGACCATTATCCTAAGGGAAGTATCTCAGAAATGGAAAAACCAACACCACATGTACTCTCTAATAATTAGGAGCTAAACAGTGGGCATACATGACACATGGGCACAAAGAGATGTAAAGGACATTGGAAATCAAGAAGTGGGGAGGGCAGAGGGTTGAGGGACAAAAACTTACCTGTTGGGTATAATGAACACTATTCTGGTAACAAAAAAGCCTTGACTTAAGCATTATACAAGGTATCCATGTAACAAAAACATTTGCATCCCCTTAATATTTTGGAATAAAGGAAAAATTTTTAAAAATTCTCTAAGTC